CTATCCCTCAGTTCACACACAAACACAAAATAATAAAAATGGTTCTCAATCTACCTGTAAAGGTTGAAAAGAAACAGCACAAATGCTATCCCTTAGACAATTTCTCTTAAACTAATGATCATCCTTTGGGATTTAAAAAATAGAGTGTCCATATGAAATAGTATTTATCAACTTATCCTCAATGTATCATATTTTGGAACCAAAGACAAGAGTGGATCATCTATTCCTTTTTCCTATACTTTTTTTTTTTTTTTTACAGCAATTAAGTTAGTTTTATAACTGTGTACTTGTGTCTTTATAGATCGATGCATGATTTTTTAAAAAGATATGCCAAGAGTCTGTTTCCTGTTTTAGCTCAAGCCTCTTGTTTGCTAGACAAAACTCTGACCTTCATTTTCCATAACTACAGAGAAACGATAGCCAGGGACAATTCTCCAGACAATCCATCTTCCGTATACATTGTTGTTGTTGTTGTTGTGTGCCGTCGAGTCGGTTCCGACCCATAGCGACCCTGTACAGGGTTTCTGACGGTACATTAAGGATGTTAAATTACCAGCCTTCCTTTTTTTCTATTTTTAATAGTTTCAGTTCTTTCTATCTCCCATCCCAAGTTGGGGAAAATATAAATAGAAGGAAATGATAAGTGGAAAATATGGCAGAATTGCTAGCAAACCTCAAAGAGCTTGTGTGTGTGCCATAGATTAAGATGGCTTCTGGGAAGGAATAAACCAATGATGAGGGAGCAGTAATCTTTTTCAAAAGTCTGATCAGCAGAGACTTGGAAGGGGTTTTCCATGTTAGAACTTGGGTGACCCTCTGAATACCACTGAGTCAATATGAGCTAAAGCAACATGTCTTAGGTAAGTGAGGTGGCATGCCTTCAGTGTCTGGTCCATGCTCTCTCTGCAGGTGAGTGTGGTGGTCTCCCTTGTGACAATGTTGGCTCCATCAGCCTTTGACCTCATCGCTGCCTTGGAGATGTACCATCCACGAACCACACTGCGCTTCCAGTTGGCAAGGTACATTCACTCTGTCGGGAACATCCACACTGTGGTCCCCATCTGCCCATTCACACAAGGAATGCGAGTCACGGCCCCCACTAACCCCCCAAAAAAACTTGATCAGCACTAATGAATTGCCTATGAAAACAACTCAAGAAAGCAGGAAAGAAAGGGAGGGAAGGGAAGGAGGCAGAGAGAGCTGGGAGATGAAGAGCCAAGAGGACAAGAATAGAAGAAATGAAATCAGACACAGTGAAGAGAGCAAGCAGAGAAGGGGGGAGGGAGAAGAAGGGGAAGGAAAAGGAGAGAGAAAAAGCAGATTCAAGAACAAAGGACTGAACACATGGTGGAAACTGTGTCCTTTAATTCACATTGTCAAACTCCCTCCATGGTTAGACTATTACGGTTCTTGAAAAAGACCCATGTTGTTTCTCCAAACATGAGAGATACATGCAATTCTTGAAAAAGACCCATGTTGTTCCTCCAAACATAAGAAGTATATGAGTTTCTGCAAACAAGAAAGGTACATGTAGTTCATTGAAAAAGATTCATATTATTTCTTTAACCATGAGAGTAGCATGTAGTTCATTGAAAAAGACCCGTGTTGTTTCTCTAACCATGAGAGTAGCATGTAGTTCACTGAAAAAGACCTGTGTTGTTTCTACAAACATGAGAGGGACATGTAGTTCATTGAAAAAGACCTATGTTGTTTTCTAACCATGAAAGAGATACATGTAATTCTTTGAAAAAGACCTATGTTGTTCCTCCAAACATGAGAGGTACATGTAGTTTGTGAGGATTTGCCTGGGAAGCCCTGGACTGTGCCAGGAATGTCGGTGGCTGAGACCCCAGGTGGTGAAAACAGCCACAAACAACATCAGGCTGCTGTGTCTCAGGATGAAACCAGGGATACCTCCAGGGAAAATCAAGTAACCACATTTCCTCCACTGGTTTCACCACTGTGTTCCTGCATCACCTCTGTGATCTTAGTCCCCAGGTTCCTATTGATGTCTTTAACTGTCATCAAGTTGGCCCCTCACTCATGACCACCAGATGTGTTACAGAACATAACAGCTCCTAAGGGTTTTCTTGGATGAAATCTTTGTGGGAACAGATATCTACGCCTTGCTTTTGTGGAACTGTTGAGTGGATTTGAACTGCCAACCTTTAGGTTTGCAACCAATGCAAACTGTTTGCACCACCCAGACAGCTTCCCGGACTGGGGCTGTTAACGATGCTTCCTTTGTACTTTGCTCCACACCCCTTCTGACCTGATGGAGAAGAGTGTCTTTCTCAGTTCCTCCCTCACTAGCAGGCATTGGGGAAAATCGATTCCATTATTCCATTTGTCCTAACAGCAATCCTATTATACAGATTGGCCTCATTATTCATGTTCCAAACTAGAGAAACAGAGGCTGGCCCCAGACAAATTAGGGATAATTCTGGAAATAAAAGCAAGACATATTATTTTAGTGTCATTACCTCACCACCTGACCATGTTACCTTTTCCCAGGGCACAGGGAAGACCAGAGACGGGGATACCAAAACATCACTCAATCCTTCCTAGTCAATACTTACTGAATACACACCCAGGGCTTGCCCGCTGCCAGGTCCTGGAAGGGCAGAGATTTTAAAAAGGTCCTGGCATTTTACAGAAGGGAATCTCTTCAAAATTTCAGGAGAGCCAAGGCGATTATGGAGTCCTGGTATAGCGCTGCAGCATAATGCACTGGACCACAAGGTCAGTTTAAACCACGAGGTCAGCAGTTCAAACCCACTCCTCAGAAACCCTATCCAGGGTCACAGTGAGTTGGAAACAACTCAATGGCATTTAACAACAACAACAAGATGATTCTAACAGTGCCCCCAACAACACCGCCTCCCCAAGTTTCTTAGCTCACTTCCTGCATACAAGAGGTCACCTCTCCACCTCAG